GTCTCGTCCGTGGCGATGTGTGCGGTGTCGGGCTCTCGGTCACCCTCGTAGCCCGTTGTCGCGAAAGGGTCGGCGTCCAGCTCCAGCTGGTCGAAGGGGTCACAGTCCCCGTCCATGCTGGTCCTTCGACGGCCGTGGTTGTCAGTGTTTGGCTCCGTGCCCTTCTGCTTCTCGTCGTCCGTGCCCACTCGCCCGCGCTGGGTGTTATCGGCTGCCGTTGAAGAATGGGCACATGCGCCGCCCCTGCCTGAGCCACCACTCTCGGCCAGCCTCGAAGGTGCAAGGCCGAAGCCCAGAGCATTAAAGTCCCCTGCCGACGAGGTTCTGGCGAACATGGCTGACTCAGGCAGGTCGGCATGGGCCCCCGCCGACGCGGGGGTTCCTCTGGGTGGTGTAGACGATGGCGCCACCGAGGGAGAGAAAGCCCACCCCTGCGATGGTTCTGCCGATGACCCAGTCGGCGAGGCTATGAAGGTAGACGGGGTTGCCGTGGAAGCAGTCGACAAGGAACACCCACCTGTTGTCGTCATCTGTGTCTCTCGTGTCTCCAGCCCAGGGGAATACACATCCCTGGCCATCTGGAGCGAAGTACAGATAGCTGCCCCCCATCGTCGCCGTCGATGGGCTGCTGTTGGTTGTCGTAGCTGTGGTGCTACATTCCCCTCTGAATGCAGCTGGTCTTTCAGGTTCTGGTAGCTGCGCCAGATCATGTGGTCGGTAGTGTCGCGCCCCTGGACACTGCACATCATCGGCATCAGCTTGGAAGTAATGGTACGTGGGGCGCTCCGCGAAGCGCACCCGAGCCGCGCCCTGCGGCCCTGGGCTACCCCCGCGTCTGGCTGGCACCCCCTTTGCTGGCGCCCTTGCCAGCCAGCACTGCAGCAGCGCGCTCCTTGGCTGTCTGGGCGGGCTGCTGTGAGGCGCCCACCTCACTGCCTGTGGCGGTGCTGCCAGGTGCTGCGCCTCCAGCGCTGGCGGCGCCAGCCGCGGTAGGCTCCGTTGTAGCGCCGCCACCGTTGTCCCCAGGAGGAGGAGCAGACTCTGCCCTAGGCCGCTTGGTCTTGAGTCGCCTCTTCTGCTCTTCGTGGGCTCTGTGGGTGGCATCGCACTTTTCTTTAGCCGATTTGAAGAGCTCAGCAGCAGCGGCCTGCATGGCGGTCTTGAGCTCCTCCTTGCGCTTTGCGATCTCGGCCTCGTCCTCGGTGCCCAGCTCGTATTCTTCTCCAAGGTCGAACATGTCCCCGCAGTCAATGAGGTCGTCGGCACTGAGCTTGCCTTCGAGCAGGGACTGCAAGTCGAGCTTGGAGGGGTTGGCTTCCTTGGGGCCAAGCTTGGTGTGGCATTTCTCCTCCAAGACAGCCTTGCACTCGAGCTCCGCGGCCTCGAGGTCACCCACCAGCTTCCGAACGAGCTCAGCTTGATCAGTAGCCTGCTGCTGCAGCCTAGCCAGGAGGTCTGTGGCGTGCGAGAGCTTTTTCTCGGGCGCCGATGCCTTGCGCTGGGCGGCGGCGGCACGCTGGTGCACGGGGCGAACCACACTCGCCTTGGCCAGCTCGGCGGCGTACTTGTTGGCTGTGGCTGTGTCGCCCATCTGGGTGGCCACGTCCACCAGCTTCTGGAGGTCGGCGGCCGAGACCTGCGCCGCTGCGGTGATCGTGCCCCGCCCGCGGCTAGCCGAGCGGGTCCACCCGTTGGTGCCACGCCCAGCTCCTGCGTCAGTAGCCCACGGAGCTGGCGCCGGTTATTCAGTGCGTCCTTTGCGGCAGTGCTTGCACCAGGTCCAGTGCATGAGGTTCTGCCCGCATCCACAGAGGCTGCACTTCCACCGATCACCAGGGCGCCCATGGGACATGTGCCGCGGGTGCTTGGAACTGAAAATACTGCAGAGGGTCGAGAGGCGCGCTCCCCCGAGCGCTCAGTACCTGGCCGCGGCAGCCAGGCCTATGGAAGGGGCTGCCCTTCCACCGCGGCCTCGAGCCTCTGGAGTCGGGACGGGAGGTAAGCTCCGTCTTGAGCCAAAATGGCTACGGCTCCTCCTCCTCCTCCTCCTCCTCCTCCTCCTCCTCCTCCCCCTCCTCCTCCTCCTCCGGCGCGGCCCGAGGCGTTTCGCAAGTCGCAAGTCGCAAATTGTCGTCTGGATTCAGACGCACCCATTCACGTTTAGACTTACTTGCCAGCACCTCTTCCTCACCCGTGCTCACTCGTCACAGTAGGGATCGCCCGTATTCACTGTGACTCATGCTCAGATTCATTGATATCTAGATTCGCTCATATTCGAACTTTTTAAAGCTGCGGCTGAACCCACGTCCAGACCAATTCACGTTGAGACCCACTCACACTCATATTCATCCGCCTTCATATTCAATCATAGTCAGACTCGTTCGTACCCAGGCTCACCCATATTCAGATTCAACGTCATCATATTCATACCCAGACCCTCGTACACTCAGATTCACTTGCACTCAGGCCCACCCGCACTCAGACTCACTTGCGCTCAGATTCACTCGTACTCAGACCCACGAGTGCTCAGATTCAGTATAACCAGACTCATTCACACCCAGCCCAATCATAACCAGAATGACACTCAGATCAGACCCACTCGCTTTCATACCCTACTCGCACTAGAGTTCCCGCGCAGGTGGTTACCGCGATATAGCAGCAAGCGTGGTACTTCGGGTACTCCAGGTGCCAGCAGGCGCCGCGAGTAGCACGCCAGAGAGCGGGCATAGCAGCGCCATGCGCTGTTGCTTGAGCTGCCGCAGTGAGAACGGCAAAAGACATTTTCCATCGTTCTTAGTACTATGTTTTCCCAATTTCCTTTGGACGGTTTCCAAGGAGGGAGGACGTCACCGAAATGGTCGCTGTCGTCGTCGTCGTCGTCGTTGTCGCGCCCGTCGTTCACGCGGATTCGCTTTCACATTCAGATACTCGCAGACAGAGCTCCTCGGCGAGACGTAACAGGAGTATGAGATGCGCATCTGGGGATATCCGCGTAAAGTGATTTCGAAAGCCCCATGGCCACCGCGATATAATAGGCGTGGCACTTGGACATCGCAACAAGGAGCCGTCTGGGAAAGGGGACGTTCGCCGGTCTCGGATACAAATTGTGGGGAACTCTGATGTGTTTGGCTTGGTTTGCCCCCTAGAAACATTTCCCTTAGCAGTTACATCAGCGCCGCGACATAACCGACATGACATTGAAACGGGTTTGATACACTTGCCGATGTGCACCCAGATCGGGGAGCCTTTCAGACGAAACGTTGGTTTACGCATTCCCGATTTTTCGTCCTTTCAGAGCCCTAAGGTCATGCCGACGCAGCAGGCATAGTATTTGTGCATTCCTGGGTGGAGCTGCCAGGGAACGCTGAGTCGCCACAGGCCACGATTATCACTCAGACATTCACTTACGGTGATGCCAGTAATTGATAAACACTTGTGGGGGTTACCGCGTCGAAGAATTCAGTGGGAAGGGACGGGTGGAGGGGGAAGGGGGGAACGGATGGAGGGAGGGCGACATGTTGGAATGGAAGGGGACGCGAAGTTCCTTGTTGTTTTGCCACTGGAAACGTTCGTGCGCAAATTGTGTTGTTGGATCCCGTTCTACAAAACAACACGGCACTTGCCGTCGCGACGCCGCGCCAGATTTCATGGCGAATTACACAACACGTGTCGATCTCGCTTGGCCCGTCTGTCGCCACCGAAGATGCACGAAACGTGCGCTCGCCGCTTAGGACGCACGCGCTGGCTGGATACGTTTTTTGTCCATATTACTCCTAAGCCGTACCCTCGTCTCAGATTTCTTCTCACTTTGCTCAGGAACGGCGCCATTCTTTGCGGGCGGAGGCCCAGCGCGCCCGAGGAGGAGGTGGAGGAGGAGGAGGAGGAGGAGGAGGAGGAGGAGGAGGGGGAGGAGTAGGAATAGGTGGAGGAGGAGGAGGAGGAGGAGGAGGGGGAGGAGGAGGAGCAGGCGTGGAAGGAGGAGGGGGAGGAGGAGGACGAGGACGAGGAAAGTCGCGCTATCGATTGGGGTCTCCATATGCTCCGGGGGGATCCGCCGCTTCCGCCCGCCGACCCCCTCCGATTGGGGGACTCGCCCGCCCGACTATCGTTCGCCCGTCCGTGCGGGGCCGCCCGCCCACCCTGCCCGCTCGCCGCTCGCCCCATCGGAGACCCGCCCGCCCGCCTCGACGCCCGCCCGACGCCACGCGCCCGGCAAGGTCCGCCCGGCCCGCCCGTCGTTTCGGGGGAGCGTAAGACCCGGGTTTGCCAGGACTCGGGTTCGCCATCGTTTTTTGACGACCGCGACTCGGATTTTGACGAGGAGGAGTTTTGTGGGATGTTTGCAGCGGGAGGCCTCGTCAAAATGCAGGCTCGGCCTCGTCATTTTTTTGACGACCTCGTCGGGGATTTCCGAGTCCCCCGTACCCGGGTCTTACGTCTCCCCGATCGTTGTGCCTGCCCCTTAGATCACCACCCACCAAACCACCCCAACCCAACCCGAAGGCTCAGAGTTACCCTCGATTTCCAGTGGGGGGGGGGTCGGGAAGCGTCGAGAAAGCACGTGTGGAACCCTTACCCCCCCCAACCCGGAATTCGGGTCTCCGGGTTGGGCTGGGGTGGTCTGGTAGGTAGTCATGAGAGTCAACCCGACCGCCCGATCCAAGGTCCTCACGAACCGACCCGGCCGCCAGTTTGTGTTCTTACCTGCCCGTCTCACCTAAGTTCGCCCGCCGCCACGAGGATATAAGGACCCTTGCCCACATCAGGCTTGATCGAGGACAGGAAGGGCTTGTCCCAGGGCTAGTATTTGGGCAGCTATTGTTGATACGGGCATTGAGGATATGTAAGTTCGGCCAGTCCCAGCCACACCAACATGTGAGGGTCTCCTGTCGAACGAAGCGTGTGCAGCCAATCCAGATGATTTAGCGTTCTCGGTATCCCTCCTTGCTGGTCTCCGTGGTCGCGATCACGCCTACGGTAGCCAGACGCGCGCAGGAGAGGCAGAAGCTCTTGATGGAGTTGGCGTCAGTGCGGGGCCAAGCGCTCTTCCGATCGCATGGCTGGCCGCCTGACGATGCGCATTTGCCAGTGGCCACGCCCGAAGCCAACGACGTAAATTCATAACATTTTTGTTTCCGGGACGGGCACTGGAGGCATTGGTGTTTGTCACATCCCTTCGATATCCAATAGTGAAGACTGTCTGCTCTCTGCGCGCATCCACTTGAAATCAGCCGAGATCATGGACTGCCATTGCCCTCCTGTGTATCTTTGCGCCCTCGTAGCCCTCTCGGGGTATTGTACGCGTCAGCACTGCATTTGGGATGGCGTTTTGATCTCTCGTGGTTGCTGGTCCCCTCATGACCACCCTAGGGGAATTGCATGTTAACGGTGTATTTGCATCTCGTGGCCCATGGCGTCCTCGTGGCCGCGTAGTGTGTGTAGATCGAGTTTTTTTCCCAGAAGTGCGGTGGTCCGTGGCATGGCCCTCTTGTGGTCCGTGACCCTCTGGTGGTCGGTGCGTGCAACAGAATTTATCAGGTCTCCCACTTGGATCATGTGTCGAGGAGGAGAGGAGGGGGAGCAGCAGGAGGATCAAGGGCAGCAGGCCGAGGAGGCAAGCAGTGTTCAAGATCTTTCGTAGGGCCGCTTCGCAGACCACTGGCACCTGAGGGGGGTCCAAGGGGAATTGGTACTGAGGCGATTGGCCAACCCTGCCCTTCAGCTTTCATTCCCAAAAGATGGAGAGGGGGTCAATGGGAGGGCATTCGTGCGAGGACAGGAGGGGCGAGGAGGGATGTGGGGAGAAGGAGAGACGCAGAGCTGAAGCAAGGAAGATGGGGCAGGCCAGAGAAGCAGGAAAAGGCGAGCACACACAAGCAAGCAAGCAAGAAAGCCATGCATCCTGAGGGACGCGTGGGCTGGTCGGCGAGGACACTCATGGTTTCTGCCAGAAATCGCTGCGACTAACTAAACGCAGCCAGCCATACTCGCGCAGTCGACGCCACCGCGGTCTGGACGAAACAGACAAGGATGTGGAGGAGGAAGAGGAAGAGGAGGAGGCGGAGGAGGAGAAGAAGGAGGGAAACATGTAAGCAACATGCAATGAAAATCACTCTATGCACCTCAGTTGCTCACTGTTGTCGGGGACGGCCACGTCGCCTATTGGCCGCCCGGCTTCGTGGCGCTCCGTCCGGGCTGCACAACAATTCCCTGACGAAGGAGGCGGCGCTGCAGCTCGCGATTCTGTTGGACAGGGTGACCTGCCGCGAAGCCAGTATATCGGAAAACGGTGTTACAGACGCTCTCCGCATTACCTCACCGTCGCTGACCTCGTGAGATGTATGAATAATAAGGGATGCCACATATTCGCATCAGCTCGTAACCGGATGTATGAATAAGGGATGCTCCTGCAGTGGAAGGCATCTAGCCGGAGTCGCTCAGCTCGTAGAGGCCAGACCGAGTCGAGGGAGCACAACAGCTTGCTCAACACACGCGCCTCGTAGATCTTCAGCTTGCGCGCCAAACCCATGGACGAATGTGACCACATCTTCCGTAGTTTGTTGAACATCCCACTCGCTTCTCCAATGCGTCGGGACAGCTCCGACGCCCTCCTCCCGTCGAGCGTCCTGGGCCTGGCAATCCTCGCTTCCTGCACCGAAGACATAGGTCCGCCATCTGGTCTCGCGATCCGCACTCCTGTCGGAATCTGTCATTGGACTGTTTTGTCCCAAGTATGCTCCAAACGATACTCTTTGCCCTCTTCGATAATCGCGTTGAGCATAGCGTTGAGCATATTTTGCAAGCCCCCCTGGTGCTACGAGGCCAGAAATGTGTCGTCAGCATATAACACATCTCGTGTAACCAAAGACCCCGATTCGTCACGAAGGTCGATGCGGGCGAACACGTCGTGCAGAGGGACGGTGCGCACGGCAATCAAGAGATTAGGCGACAACGGGCACCCTTGGGCGCCATCTGCTCGCTGACGCCTTTTCGAGGACGGGCACATGTGATCATCTATAACAAAATACGGGTTGCACCATCTCAACGAGCAGCCCAAACCTTTGCAGTGCATCCCGCATTGTATCGTGATGTCTGGTTTGACTGCCTGACAAGCTTTGGCCCGGTCAAGCATGAGAAGCAGCATCCCGCCAGAGGTGTTGTCGTTCGCGGCGTCGATCGTGCGCCTTACCAGCATCAGCGCGTCCGCAGTGCCACGGCCCGGGCGGAACCCGCATTGAAAGTCTCGCATCCGCGCGTCGGCGCCTCCACCAAGCAGCCCGTGATGCAACGCCGAAGCCAGGACCTTATAATCGACTGGCACTAAAGATATTGGCCGAATTGGCCGGTAGTTTGCTGACAATGCGGTTTTGTTCTTTCGAGCAACAGTGCGACTTTTGCGCGTTCCCATGATTATGGAAGAGCTTTTGTTTCCAGCATGGTTGGCTGACCCAGAGTACACTGCTGCGCGCAAGGTCATTTTGCATCGCGGGTTTCGAAAAGTCTGGCGGCACATCGTCGGGCCCAACCGCCTTCCCAATCTTCAGCATGCCCAAAGCCCGCAGTACTTCGACCAATGTGAAGCAGGAAGTGATGATTGGCGATGTAGGCCCAAGCGGCGTTTCACTTGCGGGCCTCTTGTCGCCAAAGCGTCGCTGCCACTGCACTTGCGCAAAATCATTTGCCAGAACGTGCGTCCTGTCCGCCGGATCTCTAAGACTGCCGTCTGACTTTTTGATGGAAGCATGCTTGACAACGCCTGGCGCGCGGTGGTATTATTTGGCCGCTTCCCAGCCCCCCCCCCCCCCCCCATTCCGCGAGCGAACTCATCCAGCCAGTTTTGGCGACCTTGACTGCCAGAGTCTCATGTAAGCTTCCGGGGTCTGCGTTCGCCATCGTGGTCGGCAGCCCTGCGGCGCGCATCCCTTTCCATAGTCAATTGCAACGTCTATTGACTTGTCCATGGCCGCGAGCACACACGACTCGATGAACGTATATAGAGCACGCGACACGAGTCGGGCAAACCACCGAAGACGATGCCAGAAACACGAAGCAGGCCTCACGCGCGACGAGGAGATGGCATGGGCCCGCCACTCACTCCCCCGCGAGGGCTTTTTTGCCATCCTCAATGGCCCTAATGCAGGTGGCGTTTTTATTGGGCGCCCTCCCCCAAGACAGATGCCCCAAAGTCGGGGCCTGGCTGCGTTCGGCTGGGCCCGAGAGCCACGCCGACTGCCGAGCGCCACAGTGCCAGCGATCCACGAGAGGCGGCCTCGGGCCGACTCGGGGCTGACGGGGCCCCATCGCGGGCAAGGAGCGGTCTGGCGGGGGCGCGCCCTTCGCCGCCCTGGCGACCCCTTGTCTCGTGGCTCCAGACTCCAGAAGCCTGATCCCGCTTCGGGGGCGGCGCGCCCCGGGGCCCCCAGGCCGCCTTGGGGGGCCCGGGGGCGGCGGGGGCCATGGGGGCGATGGGCCTCGGGCCGAGAGCCCCCATGGGCTTCTGCCCGCGCGCCCCCTCGATCGCCCCCGCGCCTTTCTGGCCCGCAGCAGGCCGGCCCTAGGGGCGATTCGCTCGGAGGAGGGGTGGATGGGGGGAGGGGGGTGGGGGGGGGGGGCGTCCGACGACTCGCACCTGGCAGCCTTTGCGAGCGGGGCGCAGACGTCATCCAAATCGACGTTTCTCCGTTCCACTTCCGCCCTGAACCCCGCCGTTTGGAGAGCCGGGCGCCGGGGCCCCAAGATGCACTGCTGGGCAGCGACTCGGAGGGCGGGTCCACGGGCGGGCCAGGGCCGGTTGGCCCATGCACGGGCCCTCAGGGGCCAGCGGTCGGAGACGGCGCCGAGCGCGCGCCGGGCGGATCGACCCCGCCCGACGGGAGGTCACCATCGGCCTAGTAGTCCATCGCCACGGCCACCTTGCAGCCTCGACGCCTCGAAGCCCTTGAGCCATTAATCGACTTAGCATGGGCCGGGCAACGACGGTGGGCGAGGCGCGCAATCGTTCCTCGGCCGGTCAAGTCCATTGCAAACCGCGACGGCGGACGAGATGCGCATGCTCGGGCACGTCCAGCAGGTCCGCGCAAGCCTTGGCCTTCGTCTCGGCCTCCCGCGCGCGCGGCCTGTCGAGCGCCTTCGGTCTCCGGCGCTTCGACGCGGTCAGCCAGGACGCTGCCCTCGACGACGATGCGGGGCACGTTGCCTATCCAGGGCGCCACCTGCATCGCCCGCGCGAGAGCGCGACCGCGCTGGTCACGCGCGCCGATTGCCTTGAGCGCCGCGTCAGCCTGGACATTGGTTCTCTTCTTCTCGGACACCCCGCGCTTGTGACATCTGACGCGCGCGACCGTGGCGGGCGTCTCCGTGCCTCCGTCTAGCAAGATGCCTCCGCGCTCATCGATGCAGCGCCGCGACCGGTTCCATGCATCAGCGTTGTCGCGACGAGGATGCGCGCTCAAGCCCCTGCCTCTATGGGCGCCCTCGACGAGGGGGAGGAAGTCCACGCGCGCGCCAGGGCGCAGCGCCGGCCGCCAGAATGCGGCACGCCGCGCGCAGCTCAGCCCGCCGCGACGACCGCGAAGCCCCAGCCCTACCCGGCAGCGGCCCCCCATCGCGGCAGTTCCACGCGCGGGCCGCGGAGAACATCGCGCTCGTGATCGCAGGGGTCGGCGAACGATCGCAGCGCCAGACGCTCACTCCGCGGAGGCAGCGCGTTCAGGGCCCACCTCGGGCGAAGGGCACGGGGGGGCAACGAGTCCCCGCGCGCCGCCCTTGCAGCAGTTTGCCTCGCGTCGTCGCCCACCGCGCGCTTTCTGAAGTCATCGGACTGCGGGCGCCCCCCCCGTCGATGGCAGGGCCAGCCAGGAATGCCGCCGGCAGGTGGCAGGTCGCGATCGCCCCTGTCGGGCAGCAGCTGCCAGCAAAAACGCAGCAGCGGCCAGGAATAATAACGCGGCAGCTGGCATGTCGCCAGCTCGAAATCCTGCCTCTCTGGATTGCGAAGGCCTTACGGCCGGCGCCGCCGGCCCTGAATG